AATGAACAGAGCTTTTCCATTGTTGAACAATTGAGTGATTCATATTTTTCTACTTGGAACTTTTTTGAATTGCAAAAACATTTTCTATCGGGCCATTTGCCTAATTTAAATTATGTAAACATATGTTAATTAATTGATAAAGTATAAAAAGAGGGATGAAAGAATTATTAGGTCAATACAAAGAGTCACTTCTTCCTATTTTAATACTTTAGAAGTTTAAGTTCAGAATCTGTGTTGGAAATTACATTTTCAAACAGTTAATGAAGAAACTGTTATGAAATTTATATTTTCAAACAATTAATGAAGATTTGCTAAATAAAAAAAATATTACGAAGTTTGTTTAAAAGAAGGATTTATTTATTATTAGAGAGAGGGAGAGAGAGAGAAGTTTAGTTTTTATTCAAACCAAGTAAAAATGGAGGTTATATATTTATAGTACACTGAACCGCATTACGCATGATAGGTTAGGTTTAGGTTAGGTTATATATATATATATATTTTTTTTTTTTTCATAAATTTATTCCAACAATTTATCTGATGAATTATCTTGCATTAAGTGTAAAATAGCAACGCGTGAAAAAACAAACGCCAGCAACACCTACTCACAATCAGAGTTGCGGTAGAAAATTCCTGACCAACTGGTAATCCGATCGTCGCGAAACTCGAAGGTCACCACAATCACACTTTGACGATTAAACACACGAATGTTCCACGAATGTGGAAAGAATCTCGCGGCTTGCTTGTCAGTCCGAAAATAAGCCAGACTGAAAGTCCGATAAAATGTTGCCGAGCTATCGAAAAGTCTATTATAGCGCCATATTCTCCCTCTCTCTCTCTCTCTTTCTCTGTTACACACGCGTCTTCTCTTGGTCGACGCTCAACTTCGCGTCATCTTCCTGCGAACAAGGTTAGAGAAAAATTTGAATCAGCACGAGATAACTTCTTGAAGTAAATACTATTTGATTTAATGATTGTCAAATGTTTGTATAAATATAAATATTACAACTAATCAAATAAATCAAATAATAATAATCAAATATTGTTTGAAAATAATGTTTCACTTAAATCACGTGAACAAATACCGTTTACAGAGAGAAAGGATACAAAAGGGATTAATAAATAATTTTCAAAGAGGCAAAGCACGTGGAGTGTTGTTAAAATTTCCAATTTTCTAAAACGTGAAAACGTAAGAAAGAAACTTATATTAAGTTTCGAAGCTTGATAATTTCATCTCAAAGATGTATTAAGCCTCAAGATATCTCCAAATCATGTTTATTAACATTGATGTTAATTTTTGGCACTCTGAATTGATTCTGCAGTTAACCGATGAAGAATGATTCGAAATCATATTTGAATTAATTTCGTTCTAACAAAATCTCGAATTTCTAAAAAAAAAAAAAAATCTGACATTATAGATTGCAGCTGAGCAACGAACTAGTCCCCCCCCCCC